CCCCAAAACCCCAAAACCCCAAAACCCCAATTCTGAGAATAATTATTGGGACTGGAATTTAAATTAATTTTGTACTAGAAATGCAGGTTTGGAGATAATCTAATTTTCTCAGGCCTATAATTAAAGCACTCAATATCAGAGAATAATTTCTTCTCTGTGTCACTATACATCTCATCGACTCTCATTGGTTTTCTAGAGTGATTAAAAGGTATCTTTAAAACAAAAGCCATAGACAGAAGCTAGAGATTATTCCAAAATTTTTCAATTACTTCATAAAAATAAATCAGAAAGGAAAGCAATATACTTACTTATCAAATAGCCTCTTCTTCCTCTTATTCGCTTGGTTTAAGTTCTGAATCCAGGAGTTCTTATTAAAATCATTGTTGGAGAACTGTGACCTGCTCTGGTTTGCGTTACTCTCCTCATATTTGCTCATGAGGCTTTCTTTACTGCTTGCTATCTTCGATTTCATTGGATCCATTTGTTCTACCTTGATCCTAAAAGTACCTTGTCCACTATCAGAATCTTGATCATGCTCCTCAACTCGTGACTTAAGGATAGTTCGGTTCTCCTTACTGCTCTCTTTTTTGCTGATAAAATCAGGAAGGTCACTAAAATGATTAGATTTCTTCATTATATGGCTTGGCGAACTCAGCTTGTAAGCCGAGGAAGTCATCGATTTACTATTGTTTATATCATTTTCATTCTTGGTGTTACTACTTAAAATTTCTGCAATTCTTTCAGGACTTTCCTTAATGGAGATGCTCTTTCCTTTAATAGCTCTTTTAAGGGACAAAGCTGGAGAAGAAATAGCTTTATTTAGGACTACTGCTCATAGGTGTAACTACAGAGGAGTACCTGCCATGTGTAGGGGTGCTATCCTTCTCCCGTCTCTCTACCTCAGTCTCTTCAGCTTGACTGTCCTCATCAGGATCACTCTTAGGAGATAGTTCTTGCTGATAAATATTTTCATGAGGGAAGTATCCTCAAAGGTAATATATAGAGTCTTGAATTTCTTTTATCAGAGCTATAGAGTCGAGGTATCTCTCCTTAGGATCAACTTCATCCTCTTTGGAAGTCTGAGGGTCCCTGTTGTTATACAAGAAGGATTCAATGCATTTGTACTTAAGCACCAAATTTTTCCAACCCTTGAGTAAAGTCTCATGGTTATCTTGGCTGTCAGAGTTATAAACTTTGTGAAGGTCCTCATAAAAACCAGGGAGGTCAATTATTAGTGGTGAGTTCTCCTGCTCTCCATTCTCTTGGATATTGAAATAGTTATTATGCTGGACTCTATTATTCCCCAGACTTTCAGTGTCTTGTGATTCTAAAATGAATTAAGGATGATTTATATAAACTATTGTACGTAAAGTATTTGTTTGGAGTATTGTTGCCATTTTATCTGAAGAATTTTCTTTTACTTTATTATTTTGGTCTCCTAAGTATTAACAGTTTATTTTACATCATCAGAAGAATATCAAGATAGTTAGGGCCATGAACACATTGCTGATTCCTAAAAATACTGAATATTTAGCACAGAAGTACCAAGGAGATAGGCATAACCTACTTTTCATCCTGTTTCATCAGACAGGTGATCCATCTTAAAATAATAAACTGTTATAAGCAAGGGGTTTTGGGGTTTTGGGGTTTTGGGGTTTTGGGGTTTTGGGGTTTTGGGGTTTTGGGG